TTCGTGATCAGGGCATCGAATTACCCCTATAGGCGAAGTTTCAACGAAAAATAAAATTTTGAGTTTTTGGGGTCGTAATAGTTGAATAGTGCCGTAATTTCTTATTGCTTTTGCCACCATACTTTTTGATCTGCTCAATGATTATTTTCCCGTACTGCCTTTAAAATCCGCAAATATCTGGTCCGAATTAGTCTCCGTACCCTAGCTTACAGCTTGGTGACAACTTGACATTGAAGGCAGAAAATATCCTCAGAACTCTACCGTTAGATTGACATTTATTAGTTTTCCAATCTGCTGCCCATATCGGTAATGATGGTATTACTTTGCGTTTTGTGATAAACGTGACATTCCTTGCGGGTTCGTAGTTTAAAGATTTACGTAGGCGAGGCTCATTTGGATGTAGTTATCTAGAGAGCACGGTCTCAACCTTCCCAGCCAATTACAAAATATGTATATTGATCTCTAACGTTTTCAGCGGCTGGTGATTCTGTTTAACAAGGAGTTTGAGTTCTCCTCGAAAGAGATGAAGAAGATTCTATTGACTGATCCTCGAGTGTTCATGATGGGTGTGTTCTTCTATTTTTTTTTGTTGTATTTTTTGAGCGCCAATCACCGATGCTTCCTCCAGCGGACGTTTTTGATTTGCTAAGCCCAACCCACTACTCATTGTATTTACCGCGTGTCTCGCTCGTAGAAGTTGAGTAGCTATTTTACCGGCAAGCGTGGCGCTTTCATACGAACCAGGGCCTCATTTGGGGATGTAGGCTGTAATTTGAGGAGCCGTAACAGCAGTCTCTGGCAGGGGAGTTCTAAACAACTTTGGGGAAAAATCGCAGCATCTGCCCGGGGCTGCTGCAACGGCCCCTGGGTTCAACTTTTTCGCTGCGGGAACATACTCTTTTTTTCCTTTACTTCGCCATTTAGACTGCTGCACTGCAAACAGAGTTGCACTGGGCTTGTAAAAAAAAGTGCAGCCTCTGTATATCATATTGCGGTGACTCTTACTCTAGTATTCGTGCTTTTAGATCCAAAGTTCATAATTACGAACTATGGTTACATTCATCGAGTAATGCGTCTTTCCAATTCTGTGATTGCGAAACATCCATTCATTCTTCGTTGCTCACACAGCAGCATTCGGAATAGGTGTGTTTCTGCTTTTGCGTATTTCCATTCCTTTTGTCTGTTTTTTTTTTCAATTAAAGGTGAGCAGTATTTGTGGTGCTTGCGCTATGTTACCCTTTTTTGGCCTTAGGCACGAGTTCCTGAAGAAACTAGGAAGAGCTGTCTATGAGGGCGAGATTGTGGATGGCAAATCAGAGACCTCGTCCAAGGATAAGAGTGATTGCGAGGTGGGCGTTGAAAATGAAAATTGAAAAAGTAGAAATCATTTCTGATAGTGATGCTGTGATTTAATCTACAATTCAGCAGGTGCCCATAGAAGTCTTCTTGGACCCTAGTGATGAGGTTTTTGCACGAAAGGCAGCAAACACATACCTAGCCGTTTACAACAATTTCCTTCGGAATCACTGAAATACATTCGTAATGCTCAGGTTCTAGGTGTTTCATTTTGATATAATTTTTTTTGATTTGCATCGTTGTAATGCAAAAAATTATTGAGAGTGAATACGTGTATATTGTTGTCTTATAGGAGACCTGTGATTAATGCACTGCTCTCGAGTTTGAGATTCTTCTGAGTCCTCAAAGACGGAGTTTTTTAAGTTTATTGGTTCTGGCGTTGATTAATGGCCAGACATGATGGTCTAGCATTTAGCGTGAGAAAGTTACGGGTTGCTAAGTTGAGATGCCATTATTTGAGGAAGATTACGATGACGAACTGTGGTTAAAATTTTGATCATCCACTGAGAACTGGGCGAACATTCATCAGACATGTCATGTTGCAATCATTTTTTATTTGCTCATTGAACAGTTCGCTGTTGTAAAACGCTTTGGCTTGTTAGACAGTTTGTAGTTATTTGTTGATTTTCTTAGTTGTCATAGTTGTTACTTTTTGTTAGTCGACATACCAGCATTGGATGAGATCATAAATGATAATGAATATATTGACAGTATTCCACTGTATCCCATATGCTTTCGTTTTCGTAGATAATTATTGCTGCCCTAGCACTTCGCTGATCCATTGGGAATACGTTGAGTTCAATCTAGTATTAATAGGCAGCTAATAGGTGTTGGAGCTCCTCATCTTCCCATCAGTTCCCCAGCAATTCTCTACGTTAAGGAATCCTTCGCGGGAAAATCTTGCATTCTTTCTTAACATGAATGTATCGGTTGTGATCACTGGAAACAACAGAGACAAATCGATCAATAGAATAGGATGCAGTAGAAGTGTGAGATGTTAATGCAATAAGTCAAAAGGCCAGAAAGAGTTTCTAGTGACGGCACTCCAAGAACCAAGTGGAAGCATTCCCGTCGCCAGCATTTGTGACAGATGTCCGGCGGTACTTTGAACGCGTAGCAGCCCTTTCGATTTTTCGAATTTTTTTACCAAAACAAAAGCAATTTTTCTGTTCTTTTTTCATTCTTATCGTGGATATGAGTCTCAAGCCAGTGATTTATGGCTGAAATAGAATCATGATTTTTCCGTGAAGGATTCCTTTAAACTCTCTCCCGGCGGTGTGGAACGGGAGACACGTGTCGCGACGCCGGGCGGCAGACGAGTGGTCTGCAGCCCGGTGCCGTGATTTTGGATGATGAGCGGAGGGACACACGCCCTTGCTTGCCTGCCACGAAGCTTCGGTCGTCATCCTCCGCTGTCCCTGATTCTGCCTTCCTGCTAGAACTCCTTTGCGCCTAGAAGGAGACGACCACTGCGCTGATGCCTATCTCCACCTTACCATGGTGTTATCTGACACCTGCGCTTTATAACCACCAGCACATGATGCTAACGTTGTGTTGATATTGTTAGCCATAAGCCAAACTGCGATCAATAAATATCGATCAGTTATGGATTACACATGTGAAGAAAAGGGAAGAAGGTATCCGAAGTGTGCGCTGCACTACTGCGCACAACTTGCTACATAACGAAACACAGTAAGTAAAGTTGGCTTTGCCATCTATACAATCTAC